AGAATTAAGGGAAAAAATATTGCACCATGGCTCTAATCCTCTTCTGTATATTTTATATAACCAGATAAATTTTTTAAAAAGCATTTAAATTGCTATCTTTTTTACGAAGGTGGCCTAGCCAAGAAGTCAGTAGCACAGGTTACAAAATAAATAAATAAATAAATAAAGAAATAAATAAACGTGATCAAAACCAAGTAAGAATATAAAATAAAACATACAATCTTTGAAAAAAATTAACTTATTGACACACACACACACACACACACACAAAGAAAAAAAACCACGTTGAACATCTGTTTAGAGGTTTTACATTTTGCCCACCAAGGTGAAGGTACCTATGTCTGTTTGTTGACCATTTAGCAACATATTTCATGAACCAGTTTTCACAGATTTAATTGAAACTCCCAGAAAGTAGTCATTGGTTCATCTACAAATGAATAACTTTTGGAGTCAACAATTCAAAATGTCCGCCACATCTATACGAATCTTAGAAAACACAAAAATGTCTATGAACCAGTCAATTTTACAGACATTCATATTAAGTTTATCGATTATCCATACTGCTGATTTCTTACCCAAGCTGCTGTATTCATACTCATGTGCTCACAACAGACTCATGTTCAGGCTGCTGTTTATTATACTGTATTATACAGTAATCCCTTGCCTATTGCGGGGGATCTGTACCCTGAAGCCCTGCAATAAGCGGAAAAAATTGCAAAGTAGGAATAGTAGTACAAGTAGTAAGTGGTAGATAATTATATCATCATCATCATCAACTTTATTTATAAATCACTTTAACACAGCCATAGCTGAAACAAAGTGCTGAAACATCAGTTAAAAACAAGATAAAAGACAGCATAAAAACAGAACTACAAACCCAAGCACACAACTCAATTTAAAACACAATAAAACAACAAGTTAAACAGATAAAATCAACACCAATAAAATAAAGTAAAATCAAGACTCAGTTGGGTTGAAGGCCAATGAATAGAGATAAGTTTTATATATATATATATACTAAAATTAACTAATACTGGTACTTACTTATGGTACTTGTACTACTTTTCCTACTTCACAGTTTTTCACTTATCGCAGGGCTTCAAGGTACAGA